GTAAGAATTTCTTTTTTACTATATATGTTATAAATAGGATATATATATTTAAAAAAAAATACTTAAAAAATTTTCAAGTTATTTCCCAATGAGATATTAGAATGTCCTCTGTGGAGGACATTGGGCTTTTACGCAGTCATAATTATAATAAAATCAAATATTTTTAATTTTATATATTTTGTAAGTAAATTAAAAAAATAATAAAATTATAGTGTAATCACAATTTTTAATATAATATAATAAACATTTACTACTTGAAAATATAAAAAACATGTATATATTTATGTTTGAAATTAAAATAACATAACAAAAAATAAAATAACTTAGGTGGTTATGTTATTACATAACTTTTAACTTTGTAGATCATGTTTTTCACATATAATTTTCACAATTAATGCAAGGAACTTTTGACTAGTTCATGTATAATAATAAAAATAGTAATAACAATTATTATTTTCTTCTTGAAAATAATATTTTTAAAAAATATTATAAAAAAAAGATGCCAATATCTAAAATATGCTAATTTTAAAATAAATAATTTGATAATATGTTTTTAATGTCTATGTGTTCCGGCGAGGAAAATAAATAACAGTGGACTGCATAATTTGGTAATTGTTTTTATTTTCTATGTAAATAAATTATTATAATTTATAGGTTGCTTGAAGTCTCTGTGCAAGTCTGCCTGGGTAGGTCTTGCTTCAAAGGCTCCGTTGAACCAGGCTGGTGCAATTCTATGGGAACAATATGTTCAGTATAGTTTATACCGTACGCCCACCGGTCACGCCACTAACGGTCCGGCGTATCAGCGATTATTCGTTATCGCGACGACAGTCCACCAGACACCAGTGCCGGGCAGTGCCACTACTGAATTTTTGGCCTCCACCGAACACATGTCTTTTTGGTGTTTTCATTGACAACAACAAATTTTAACTAGCGTCGTGACTGTGAAAAAAAAGTTTTCAAATTTCGTTATTGTTTTTTATTAGTGTGTAATAATGCCTCCGAAAAATGCATATAAATGTATTGTACGTGACTGTCAATCAAAAGGTATGCATTTATTATTTTGTTGTACTAGATAAGGTTATGCCCGTTTCATATGTCGCGTTTTATTTTTATTAGGTGTAGTATGTCATCGGTTTCCAAATCCTTGCAATGATATGGAAAGACTTAAAAGTTGGATGAGGATTGTAGGTGGTTTGGAATACATGAATCCGATGTCTGTGTATACTAAAATATTCATCTGTGCTCTACATTTTACTAATAACTGTTCGAGTCTTGGTACTAAAAAGCTAAATGCAAATGTGTACCCCTCCATCAACTTGCCAAATAGAGAAATGGTTAATGATGATATCTTAAAAGAAAATGTTCAACACACAGGTATGTATGCAAATAATTACATACAATTATTTTAATCTATTGAATATATAATATATTATAGTTACAGAAAACGAGCTACATGACCAGCAAAATGTCAATGATTCGTTTATGTCTGGTGTATGTTTTTTTGACAATTCATTAAATGATGTGGATTTCATTGCAGGTAATTTTAGAGTTTTTGGTTATGTATAATCTAAAATATTTATTTTATCACTTAACTATTGTGAATGTAGATAGTGTGCATGTTGAACCTGTAGTCAGTAGTATTGAAAATAATATGCTTGTTGATATTGCCTCCAATGATATAGTTAATGCTAAGAATGCGCATGCAACGCATGTAGTTAATGTTGATGGCTTAAAAACAGTTCCTTCTAAATCTATTCGAGTTCCGAAGTCCAATAAAAGCTTTAGTTGGTTTATATTTTAATAATAATATTATATTTTTTGTGTAAATAATTTAGACTTCTTAACTATTTTTGATATTTAAATATATGTATAGGTTTGTTAGCTAGCATTGGAGTGAAAAAATGTAGCTCGTTAACACCTAGGTGCAAACGTTTTTACAAAGTAACTACAAATATCGTCGAATGAATACGAAAAAGGCATTATTCAAAACACGATTACGGGAAGCTGACAAATTTGCCAACACGTATTTAATTGACAAATTTTCTGACAAACTTTCTGCTGCTGCATCACTTTTTGCAAGACTTCAGATCCGCGAATCAAACAAGAAGAGTAATGGTCGTCGATTTTCATTAGAAGAAAAAAATAAATGCTGAGCCTCTCATTATATAAAAGAAGTCCGAAATGTTACAGGCTCTTATCGCAAATGTTTTCGTTGCCTTGCAAAAGAACACTTAATGTTATCTTAGGCAGTATAACAATAAGTCCTGGTATTTCTCCGTTGATGATGGATGTGCTTAAAGATAATGTCAAAAAACTAAAACCTTCAGAACGGTAAGAATTTATAACTAAAAAGAGATAATTGATTAATTATATAATTTGTTTTATTACTCTTTAGGTACTGTACAATATTAGGTATTCGATGAAGTTTGTTTGTCGAGTGGTATAACTTACAATCCAGTAACTGACAATATTGATGGGTTTGTTGATACAGGAGTGCATAGGCGTCATTACGGGGTAGCGATGGGTAGCCATTGCTACCCCACCATTTTATTGGGGTAGCAAAGTAATAGCTATGATACCCCACGAGAAATATAATATTTATATATATATATATATATGTTATATGATGTCAACGTACATATTATTTTCAACTAAGATAACTATATATTAATAAAGATAACATTAATCTATTTTTAGCGAAACTATTATTTTTCCCAGGACACGGTTTATCGTCGATAACGACCGTCGATCGATATGGTACCAATTACTAATATTATACGGGTAGAACCCGATTGCATACGATCACGGACGTATATACAGGACTGGTCACGAACGCTCTTTACTGTATAAGCCTTTGGAAAATTAGTGTCACGCCTGTGGGCCCACTATGGTCTATGCTGACATCTAGCGGATAATAGAGTAACTAGTCGTTTATTTCAAAATACATTTTATTTCTATCAACATTTATTATATTATAATATTCTAATAATATTGTGTGTATCTTTTACACCCATGTTATAAATATATTAAACCTTTTTATTTACATAAAGAGATTTCCCTCCAAAAATTGTATCTTAATGTATTAATTTGCATAATATATGATATATAATATGTAAAATAAAATGTAAATGAATTATTCAGTATTGCTATTTTGTTATTATTTTATTATCCTTAATTAAATAAATATGGTACAGTTTTGTTGTTTTCCTCATTGTGGGTCAAAAAAGGGACAAAACATATCTTCGTAAGTAGTATTAAAATTATACATTTAATCGTTAATAGAACAGTTGTGGGAAATATTTCTAATTACTATACCTAAGCAATTAGAATGATTAAATTGCAATTTGTTTAATTAATTGTAGATTTGGATTTCCAAAACAAAAAATCTTTTTTGATAAATGGGTTTCATTATTGCAGACCATAAATACAAAGTATGTAAATAAAATTTCACATAGGCTATGTGAAAAACATTTCAAAGCTAGCGATATTGTAGGTGTATATTTATATTTTTTTAATTTATTGGATAACTATAAGTCACAACTTATTTTATTTCATTCTTCTTATTATTAGCTACAAATGGAACGTAAAAATTTAAAACCAGATGCTATACCACAGGTACCCAATTTCAGAAAAATAACTTAAATTAAATATACTGAGTAGATAAATATTAAATTAAACATTTTATTTAAGATTGATATCGAGGACAATATGTTACCACCAGCTGATATAAATAATTCTGAACCATGGCATTTAACAGTACTACTCCCATAACATATTTGGCACACAAGAACAAAATACATAAAAATGATTCAAATGAAAAGGTGATAACCTTAATATAGTAATAACAGGGACGTACAAAGTACATATGTAATGTATATGTGTGTGCGTAGGACTGTAGGAGTAAATACTATAAACGACGTTAGTATTTGGTAGTAAATTTAATACTTTAAAACGAAAATTTTCATAAATATTTTAAATATACGTAACGGACGTCTGTGGTATACATCCATTTCAGTATTAAAAATGAAAATAAAAATAAAAATAATTAAATAATTTCGCAATTAAATATAACACAAATAGATGGCGCAATGTGTATTCCTGTGGTCCCGAGCGTGACACTAATTTTCCACTGATAACGACTCGTGCCCAGTCCTGTATATACGTCCGTGCATACGGTTTACCTTTTTGGGAACACGATTGCGTATGTTTGCTGTATAACAATGGAAACCCGTAAAACGACACGATTGCGTATGCAACGTTGCCAAATTTATAAATATACAAAAAGTTCACCATTTATTATACACAATAGTCAATATACATATATTTCAATGATCTGCAATATAAAAGTAAGTTCAAAAATATATAAGAAAAAATCTAAGCATTATTAAAATAAGCAACGATATAAACTGTTTATGAGAATCGTCGTTTTAAATTTGCAATCCTTAGCTATACATGCCTCATGAGCAGCAACTTCAAAATCGACATGCAATTGTTTTATACTTAACAATTCAGATGAATATTTTGAGCTTAATTCAATTAAATACGTCCACATTTGAATATAAGTTTCTTTGCATTTATCAATTAAAAAAAAATAAACCAAAGGTAAATAATAACCGTTTTTTAATCCGTGTATCGTATAAAGTTGCATAAAATACTTGGGTGCGTATTCAAAAGTACCATCTACAAATACATCTTCACACTGTAACAGTACATTAATGTTTGTCTTTGTTGTAATACAAATAAATTGCAAATCGTCTGGCGCGTGAAAATTTTTCTTGTTTGAATTTAATACCACCATTTTCTTCCATTTTTCTCAACTGAAGTATAGCACAGGTCAACGAATCTGGGAAAGGAGGATAATTTTTGCGTCTTTTATCGTACATGGCTTTTTTCTTATCGATTTTATATCTGAATGTGACACTTCAAAATCTGTTGCCATCAGTTCAGATCTGATAATTTTTGATGGTCTAATTGAAATTGAGTCATCTGCTTTACGTTTACAATTTTCTCGTAAAATTTGGTGTTCGATTTTCTCCATTGTAAATATGTCTGTGCTCACCCAACATTGACAATACTTTTGAACGGCCACTGTCTGACAATATACTGGCATAACATGTCCTGTTTGTGCACAACCATTTAACTTGCTCGTCTTTTCGTTGTCTTATAAAACGATATTTGTCTGTACCAACTAATGCCAAGTCTTTTCCGCGTTCCGACGTAATTATTTTTATTGTTTCATTTTCCATTTTATATAACACAATATTATACTACACTTTATACTATAATCACGATAGTCACTTGATATTTCCAGTTTCGTCTATATGTGACTTCCGGCTAGCATGACAACGTTGCACAAAAATAACGTACGCAATCGTGTTATGAAAAAGGTTGAAAAAGGTACCGCCGATAAGCAGCGTACGCAATCGTGTTCCACCATATTATACCTATATATACACTTTATTATTATCACTGTCGTCTGTCATTATGAAATACGAATTATTAGTTAAACACAAAATTATTATTTGCGCGAGTTCCCGTCTTCCCGATGTCAATACGTAATCGACCGACCACCAACGAATTAGGCTGCGCGTACATTGGAGAGCGTTGAGCGTCGAGCGTCGCGTCGCGCAAAAATTTTAAGCCCATGTAATTTAAATCAGAGTGCGTACATTGACTACGAGCGTCGAACGTCGTCTTCGAGCGTCAGCGGCGCGGCGCGTCACAAATCAAACATGTTCGAATTTTGACGCTCGACGCTCATATATTTGGCGTGCGCGATCAGTAGACTGATCTAGTAGTAGTGTAGTAGATAGGTTTCTAGATTTATATAACTTAAATATAGGTAAATTGTATAGGTATACGTAGCTGGTAGTTTAGGTAGATACCATGCAAACATATTATTAGATTATAGTTCCTACAATAATTATTCCAGGAAGTATAGTATGATAAGATCGATCTACTAATGATCTTGTTTACTTGCATGCTCTTGTAGTTCGTATCGTCATGACGGGTTCAGTTGGTTTCGAATATTTTAAAGTAAAACATTATATTTCGTTCCCAAAAATATGACGAAAAGAAGTTCTTTTCAAGACAGCACGAGGGAAATTTTAATTTCCGAAGTTCAAACTCGACCATGCTTATGGAATGATGAACATCCCCAATATAAAGATAGCGAGAAAAATAAAAAAATATGGGAAGAAATTGGAAAAGTAATTGAAATGACAGGTATATCAATATATTAAGTATTAATAATGTAATATACATATATAATCAGGGCCGGACTACGATCGACGTGTGTGACGGCACAGTATAGATAATATAGGAATACTATAATATGATACAATATATTTTACAATTGTTAATTTGTATTTGTATTTGCACTGTTATTTTAAATAGTTGTTTTATTATATTAA